TGTGTGAATATTTTCTACCCCTATGTAACTAGAACTCACTTGGATTCAGGCTACATTGTCTGTCACAATGCAGTTTGGATTTCCTGCTTTGTGTGTCTTTGGAGGCTGAGACCACAAGCAATTGATCACAGCAATCTGACACCTGCTGGGAAAATGGTTCACCTGAGCTGCCAGGTGTGGACTATGATTACAGGGGCGGGAGGAGATGGTGCCCTCCCCTGGCTGCAGGTAGACAGCAGAATTACTGATGATGAGTAAGGATCTATTTAACTGAGCACTTGAGTACTGTGCTCACTGTTACTGGCTGTTCGAGACAGTATAGGTGACTCTGGTAAGTAATTCCAGGAGCTTGGCTTGATGCTTAAAGAGAGGTGTCTTTCCAGCTTCTTTAGGGCTGAAGATGCCCTGGTAAAGAAAGGCTTAGGTGGTAGCTATATGATTTGTCCTAAATGGAAAATCCCTAGATCCGACAGGGACAGAATGATGTGGCTCAGTCTTTATACCTGAGGCAATGGGTGCTATGAGAGAGGTGGGGTTTTCTCACTGATCTCCTACAACCTTGGGGGGATAGGTGTGCCAGATGGGTCTTTTCTGAATCCTAGCATTTAGTCTTTCAGTACTGGAAAAGATATGGACTGAGTCCCTGAGCTGCAGTTTGCATTTGCTGCTCCAAATAGATCTGGTACTCTCAGTGGCTGCTAGGCAGAAATTTGGGACTGCTGTACCTCTACTTGGGGAATAGACTGGAGACACAAACCACACATCTGTCTCTTCCAGCATTCACAACTCTTGCCATGTTCACCCGGAGATGCTCCAGATGTTTCCTACTGGATACAGTCAACAGAGGAGCAGAGTTTGTGGAGACCTTGAAGACTATCTACCCCAAGGCAGACATCCTCCATGAGAAGGACTTTGACTGGCTCTTTGACTGCCCCAAGACAGAGATGTTCCTTGAGTGGTTCTGCAACACAGTGGGGGAAGAGAATGTACTGAGCCCTACAGAAGTGGCAGCCTATCAGAAGCTGCTCAGCTCAGGGAAGCCTATTTTGGAAGGCAAAGCCCTAGACCAGGTGCTGCAGACCTGCCACCAATCTCCACAGCTGATAGGCATGATGCCAGAGGAGGAGGGCCCCTCTCTGGAGGCTCTAAAGCATGAGACCCAGGCACTGCAGAGCTATAATGCTTGCCAGCTCCAACGGCGTAACAAGCTTCAGATCCGTGCAGCTAGTGTGAAGCAGGAGCTGTGCCACTTGGAAGAAGAGGAAGAGAAGGCAGTCTGGAAGCTGAGAGAGGCCCAGCTGGATTTGGAAGTGGAGAACTCTCAAACCAACATTGCCTTGAACCAGGCCTGCAAGACAGCAAAGCAGCTGGTAGAGTGGCATAGTGAAGCTGGGAAAGGGAGACTGCAGGTGCTAATGTCTGCAGCAGACCTGAGCCACTTCATGGAGACAGAAAAACTGGCCACAGGGGCTTTAGAGGGATTCATCCAGAAAGTGCTGCCAGATCGTCTAAGAGGTGCAGACATACTGCCAGTGAAGGGACAGGGCAGCTTCCAGGAAAAGGTGGACACCGAGGTCAGGGCAAAGTTAGCTCAGGATGTACTGCCAGAAGACATGGGGAATGTCAGGGATGAGTATATCAAGAATATCAAAGTGAGCCTAGGAGAACTGGAGGGCCAGGGCAGCTGCCAGGAAGACTTAGTCAGGAGACCGTTAACATCAAGGCTCACCTTGAAAACCCTGTTAAAAGAGGAGAGATACTTGAAAGCAGAGACTGGGGGTGTGGAGGCACTGGATGTTCAAAATAGCTGCCAGGATGCAGTGGAGATGGTAGCAAAAGCAGACCAAATGATGCTGGAAAAAACAGGGAGCCCTAACACTGTACTTCTGGAAAACCGGGGCAGCCACCAAGAGGAACTAGGACGTCTAAAACTAATTTATATCTGCAGCCAAAGACAGCTGATCACCACCTCGGCAGAAATGGATGGTATCTGTGCTGGCTTGCAGTGGGCAAGGACCCTGAAGACCAAGAAGGAAAACTGGGTAGGTCTTGCCTTGTCTGTGTATCATTGTCACAACTCCTGACTCCTATAGTAGCAGCACCAAGCAAGCTGTGGGGAAGCCATTAGTGACCTCTCTTTTAGTGTATTGGCCAGGATTTGTCCTCCAAAGGTTGAGGCCCATTTTGTTACCTGTAAGCAGATGTCTACCATTTTGTATTCTCCTTTTCAGCCAGTGAAGGACAAGGAAGAGCTAAGCCTTCACATTGCCACCTGCCAGGAACAGCTGCAAACAATCCAGAGTGAGATAGATCAGACCCAGGCCAACAAACTCACGCCTCTGCTTCAGGCTGGTACCCACCTTTTTTGCTTGCCTATCCTGTCTGGAGAGCTTAACGTGGAAGCTGTTCGCCTTGGGTATATTGCTTCAAGGCAAAAGGAGGTTGTGGTGCAGCTAATGGACCAGCACAGTCGCTTGGAACTGCTAGGGCTCCAGCTGATGCTGGAGGAGAGACAGTTGCGTAAGGTGGGAATGTTACTGGAGAAGATGGTAGCTACCTTGCAGGAAGACTCGGACAAGCTGCAGGAAAGGCTGGTCTGCTTTGAAGATCCCAGCTTCCAGGTTAAGCAGTGTCCACGCACGCTGTTAGACTCTGGTGATCTTACTACCTTACGGTAAAGATGGCTCTGCCACTGACCTGGCAATTGGGAGAGGGTTGGAGTTGAATGGAAATAGTTAAGTCGTAAATTAGAGGCTTGAGAAGCTGTCACAAGAAGAAACTAATACAAAGGGATCTTTTGGGTATACATAATGAAGAAAAGGTAACTCTTCAACTTACCATCCCATAATACAAAAGTAAAGACCAGATTCTGGGCAGGGTTAAGCTTCTTCCTAAGTAGATCATTTTGCAAGACTGAGAGGTATCTGCCAGGTTAGCATCACCAATACAGGCAACCCCTGCTTAACGCAGTTTCGATTAGCCCTATTTCGCTATAGCGCTCATTTAAAATTGATACCTGATTTCACTGAATGCTCAGCCAGTTTCACTATAGTGTTCAGTGGAATCAGTGAGTTTTGGCAGGAAGAAGCAGAGGTGCCAGCAGTAGCAAGTGCAGTAAGTGGCAGCAAGTATGTGTGTGTGTGTGGG